TTTGTTTCTATTTATCACATGGTTTGCTTATTGCACACACACATACAAACACATACACGCACACACTTACACATAGACCCACTCACACACGCATAATCGAGTTGATACCAAGAATTCGGGATTTCGATGAAACTAATTTTATACCTCGCTTCCATTTGCGAGTAGTAACTACTACTACTATTGCTGCTACACACACGCACTCTTCCTCTCTCTCTCTCTGTCCCTCTCTCTCTCTCTCTCTCACACACACACACACACACACACACACACACACACACACACATATATATATATATATATATATATATAGTTATTTTTTAAAAATATGATTCCTTCGCTACATAAGAGTTCTCATGTTTCAAAAACGAGAGCCGAAAATCTCTATATAATTATTAAAATTAAATTGAGTTAAAGTATCAAGCCCTGTTTCATCCTCATGAAAACAGTGCTTGATACTTTAAACATTTTTTTAAAATAATTTTAATTTAAGCTCTACTTCTGTATGGAGCACTGTTTTTTGTTTTTTAAATGAAAACAAAAAATACTAAAGAACTCCTGATTATTTACCTAACGTGTTCTTTCCTATTTTTCTGCTACATATCTGCATATATATATATATATATATATATATATATATATATATATATATATATATATATATATATCGAGCATGATATATTCAAAACACACCTTTAGCTGGCCACAAACGAAAAAAGAAAGGAATGTACTGTTAGGCGGCGTACGCCATATTTTTCCCTTCTCTCTTTTATTTCAAACATATTGAGAGCATTGCCATAGCAGCTTCCAATCTACAACATAATATAAATACGCTCGCTGTGCTCGTGGTTGTAACTGCTAACCACACCAACTCGGAAACAGCGAGCTTCTTTAATGTCTAGCGACAGGTGGGTTTCACGGTGATGCACTTCAATTACTCGTTGTCGTTATGTTCCCTTGTTGATTGTGAGCATTGCGAGCCATTTTCCTCAGGCTACCTCTTGTCGTAGTGCTGCACACTCACTGTCACAGCCATCGTGTTGCGAGACACAACGGTGAAGATTTTATTAAAATCTTTCCTGCATAGCTCAGCCGTGGTCTGCTGAGAATTTTCATGGCTATGTTATCCTTGGGTTAAGATTTGCATTCCCTGGATAACTATATCTATGGAATAGAAAGGACTGGTTGAATGTTGGCATCATGGATTAGATCAAGGTTGGACAAATGTCTTTTTTTTTCTTTTTTTTTCAGGTTAGCTACATGAGTTGTTTGTCGAGTTCATGGTGTGACGAAGATATCAAAAATTACTTTAATAATTAGCTTAAATTAAAGACCCCCCCCCTCTATCATTGGCATTTAATAATATCTATCACAGCATTCAATACTGTGCCGTATCTGGTCTAGTGGTCCTCCTATACATATCAAAGTTCCTGACAAATCCAAAGAATTAATGTAATCGATCCTGACCTGGCATATCAACTTCAGTCACTTTCTCACCGACGTGACGTGGCTTCCCTCTATCTTTTCTACAAATATTTTCATGGCAACTGCTTTGGCGAGCTTTTTTTCTTTTCTTTTCTTTTCTTTTTTTTTTTTTTTTGTTGTTGCCCTGACTATATGAATTTAAGCATTCTACTAGATTGGCATTTAGGTCCCACATGTTTACTGTTGAAATAGTTACATGCAATCATCTCTTCTGCTTCAATAGTTTCTTTTCTCTACATTTACCGTCTGCGGAACTCCCTGATTACAATCTTCAATCGCCATTTTCTATCTTCTTGAATCCTGTTCATCTTTTTACCTTTCCTCAATACTCCCTATACTTAGTCTTTTCTAGCGCTTTCTCCATCTGTAACCCCTGCGTATTAGTAAGATTCCCGCCTCGCTTGGAATAAAATGATTAAAAAAAAATAAAATTCCAATATTAACGAGTATTCGTATATCGTTAGATGATTAGAAAATAAATTAAGATTCTGTTTATTGCAAAACAAAACATGATCACAATTTACAATTACCTGTCAGCCTTTGCAATACCATATTTCAAGTGCTCTACAGTGACTTATCGGCTATTACGAAATTCCTAACCGGGTTGTCTCCTCCAATTTGGTAATTTTTTCAGGGAGATTCAATAAAATTAATAAATTGTTGTTGTTTGGTCATTTATTTCCATTGACCATTAAATAAAATTGAAAAACAAACCCTGATTCATCGAAAAATGAATAATGCCCCCAAATATTTTTTTCTTAGAAATATTTTCGCGGGCTGTACTCAAATAAACTACACCAGAGAGCAAGGTTGGGAGATTTTTGATGAGCCCGGAGCCACCTCTTAATTGCTGTTGTTCCAAGGTCCACCCTGACCCTGTGTGGCAGCACCTATTAGGGTCCAAGATATTGGTAAATAGTTACTTTCCTCCAAACAAAACCACTATCAAAGTATACAAATACATTTGATAGTAAAAATACCAGCAATATACTTTTATATAAAAAAAGACCGACAATAT